GGGTCTTTTTTGGGTGGGGGGTGGCCTTGGACCTGATGGATAGCCCCTCATCAGAGCAAAACAACCAAAGAAATCTGAAGCTCCTATGTTTAATAGTTTTTGAGCAATAACCGTTTTTGTATGTCCAGATACGCCTTTTTCAGATAAATTGGGGGTCCAGCGTGGTGGGGGCACTGATTGGTGGGTCTGATGGATAGAGCTTCATCAGAGCTAAACAACAAAAAAAATCTGAAACTTCTATGTTGAACAGTTTCTGAGTTATAAGCCTTTTTGCATGTCCAGACACCCATCTTTGAAAGGAGCCCCCTCATCAAATATAGGGTCCATCTTAAAACCGTTGTCTGGTGCTGTGTAGGTCAGACTCATCTACAATCCTGCCAAATTTCATGTTGATCGGTGCAGCCGTTTTTGTGCTACGATTGACCAAAAATCACTGAAAAAAAAACAACTATGAAAACAATAGGGCTCATAATGATGTGTTCGAAGAGTTTCAGTTAGGGTTTAGAGCTCATCATAGTGCAGAAACAGCACTAATGATATTCTCATGGCCTCAGACAGTGGCCTTGTGTCCATTCTTGTCCTTTTAGATCTCAGTGCTGCATTTGATACAAGTGATTACGATATAATACTACAGAGGGTTGAACATGTATTGAAATTGCAGGAACAGCTCTAAAATGGTTTAAGTCTTGTTTAATTGATAGACTTCACTTTATAAATGTTAATAATGAAACTTCTTCTTACACCAGAGATAGTCATGGAGTTCCTCAGGGTTCAGTGCTTGGCCCAATCCTCTTTACTTTATATATGCTTCCATTAAGCAACGTTATTATACAGCATGGGACAAATTTCCATTGTTTTGCTATGATAGTTATATTCATCCATGAAACCTGATGAATCTACTTAAACTACAATCTTCTCTCAAAGACATAAAAACCTGGATGACTCTTAATTTTCTGCTTCTAAACTCAGATAAGACAGAGGTTGTGGTTTTTGGACCTGAACATTTTAGGAATAAACTTTGCAGCTTTTCACCTTCTCTGGATGGCATTAATTTGGCCTCCAGTTCTAGTGTAAATAACCTTGGTGTTATTTAATTATAAAGTGCTGCTTATTATTTAATATAGTTTGTTTTAACAGTTTTTTTTCAGTGAATGACAAATTAGAATTTTCCACTTTCAGAAAAATGTATCATATTTAGCCCCTTGCATGAACCACAGGTTAAAGTTTGCTGAAAAATTGATTCTTCAGCTATCTAAAAGTCCATCAGGGCTTGTTGCCAAAACTTGTCTGTCATTGTGCAACCTCTTAAGTCTCGGATGTTCCCTGTTCACACAAACCTCTAAAGGTGTTGCTTGTGAATTGCATGGCAATGCATATTCTAGAAAAAAAAAAGACTCTGTTTTTTTAAGAGAGTAAATTTAATAATTTTAAAAATTCCTTCGGGATTAAAATTGCTGTGTGATCAGCTTGGGTCGGAGGGAGTCCGGTGGTCTCAATATTACATCTCTATTGATGCAGATGCAGATGATGTGATCCTGTTGGCGTCATTGTGACTTGATCTCCAGCTCTCAGAGCAGTTGAGGCTGGGATGAGGATCAACACCTCTGACTCCATGGTCCTCAGTCGGAAAAGGGTGGCTTGCTCTCTCTGGGTTGGGGGTGAAGTTCGGCCTCAGGTCGAGGAGTTCAAGTGTCTTGGGGTTTTGATCAGAAATGAGGGAAGAATTGAGCATGAGATTGATAGACAGATGGGTGCAGCTTCCCCAGTTTTGCGGACTCTGTCTGCTGTGGTTAAGAAGGAGCTGAGCTGTAAGGAGAAGCTCTCTGTTTACCAGCCACCTATGTTCCTACTCTCACCTGTGGTCATGAACTTTGGGTAGTGTCCAAAAAACAATATCGCAGGTACAGTATAAGCAGTCAAAATTAGTTTTCTCCGCAGGGTAGCTAGACTCTCCCTTAGAGATAGGCTGGGATCTTTAGTTATCCAGGAGATATTTAGAGTAGATCCACTGCTCCTCCACATCGAGAGGAGCCACTTGAGGTGGTTCAGGAATATCAGACTGGGAGGAGACCCCAATAAAAATCCAGGACACACTGGAGAGACTATCTTTCATTTAGCCTGGGAAGGTCTTGGAATCCTCCCAGAAGTGCTGGAAGATGTAGTTGGGAGAACAAGAGTTCTGGGCCTCCTCGCTCAAGCTGCTGTCCCTGCAACTTGACTCTGGAAAAAGTGGTAGATTAGCGATGGATGTTTCAGAAGGTGGTTTATTCAGAAACACTGGTGTAAGAAACTTAAATTGAGAAAAACAAATGTAAAACAGCAGAAGTGTTCACATCTAATACTTTCTCAACTTGGTATTGTTTCCATTTTTTTTTCTGCCGGGATGTCCTATGGGTTATATGAAAATTTCTACTCACATGTACAAAAATCAGAATCTCTGACCAGACACATTTATTTTCAACCTCAGCCTTTTAAAACAATGAACAAATAAAATTAACTGAACTAAATTACCGACTGCAATGAAATAAACTACAACCTCTTTTAAATAACAAAACACAAAAACACATTTATAATGGTATACTTGGTGAGAAGATAAAAAAATTGAAGGTTTGTTAATTAAAAATTTCACCTTTAATCTCCACTTCTTTGTCTTCATGTGGGGGCCAGGTCAAAAACCTGTCTATTAGCATTCATTGGTTTTAAACAAACCCCCCCCCCCCCCCCCCCACACACACACACCTCCCAGAAGTACTAAAATGAAGCTTCCTCTGCAAGTACAGCACTGCTACATGGGAAACTTTTATGGGTGTAAGATGAAAGTTGAGTTTTGCTCTGGAAATACGTGTCAGTTACTGCTGTGACCGCAATCAAAAGACAGGATACAACCTGAACAGGAAGCCAGTCTATACTGAAAGAAACCAGACAACTGCATGCCTACGTCAAGTTGGAATTACCATTTGACCTGCATGCAGACTGTGAAAAAAAATCAAAGTACCCAGTAAACAACTCTTGCAAGTGCCACACAGAAACCATGACCTTCTTACTGTGGAACGACCAGCACCATGTTTGTCTGTTTGTCTGACAAACAACACATCAAAGCAGGAGAGGATGTGACTCTTATAATGTGAAATATGAACCATGACTACTAGAAATGGGTCTTCAATTAGATAAAATATGCAGTCATGAAATCTACACATTTGTGACTTTGAAGAATGTTCTGCTTATACACAACACGTATTCATGGTGCATTCAGGTACAACATGAAAATTCAATAGCTCACACTTAAAATTAGGCAGTAACACAACATTATGTTTCTGTAAAATTGAAAATTGTCCATGGAAACTTAAATGTGATAGTTAACTTCGTTTTTATTATTTTTATAGCAACCTTTATTTTGATGTGGATTTTATAATTTACAGTTTGTACTTAACACCCAAAAAACAATGTACAGATGTGTAATGATTATTTTTTTAATGCACTGTTTAATGAGTCTTTCCAGAAGGCCTTGCTTTTGCTTTGGTCCCACTAACTCTACATCATCAATATTATTGAACTTTATTTAACCAGGCAAGTCCCATTGAGATCCCAGGTCTATTTTGTCAGGGAGGCCTGGTCTTAATTGTGATTGGTACATTTTTCTGTCAGGTAATAAACAAACTCATCCTGCAGAAACCTTGACTCTGCTCTGCCTTCTCTCCTGACAGTGAAGTCCTGACCAGTGGACCTTTTTACAGTTACTAATGCTCATGCTCAAAGCCAGTATTTTGCCATGTATTGTTGTCTAGATTGGTCATGTCTACTTCTGGTTCTTTGAAATACACTTAGTCTAAACAGTGTACACATTTACCCGTTTTAACTGCTCTGCAGTTTTTATGACACCTGTATCCTGTATGGTAAATATGTTTTGCTGTCACAACTGAACTTACAATACTAATATAAAAAACGTAAAAATACATTTGTACATAAAGTCAATGACAAAGCTGGTGTGAATTAACCTCAATAATAAAACCTTTAAAATTGTTTTCTGTGTGATTAAAGACTGTTTCTTGTTCATGTTCAAGATGCTTTACAGAAGTTAAGAGAAATTATCAAAAATAAAACAAATAGACACCAGAAAACCTAAAAGAAAATTAAAACTTTTATTTGTAATAAATGTTTATTTAAACAGTTATATGTAATATTTAGGTAAAGATGGGGTCCAAGAAATCCATGATGGTTTCCCTCTGAATGTTTTTATGTCATGGTCCATTTTTGAGGTCAGCAAGTTGCCATCACTCCTCAGACTGAAGAAGTCTCTCTGAGGAAAGACAAAACATTTCATTAAAGAAGAACTCTTCCAGAGGACCTACTTATTTTTATTTTTGATTCTTCTACCTGGATTACTGAGATGCATCAGGACATCACTCCCAGAGGTCTGGAATACCATGAGCCAAGTCTCTTTTCTTCCTGCCTCCTGTTTTTTTATTTTTTTTTTTTTTTTTTTTTTTTTTTTTTTTTGCCAAGGGGAGTCAAGAAGATCCACTATTACCACCCGGCCATCTTCCTGCTATCACAGATGGCCAGGATGACCATGATCCTCTGCCAAAACATATTCCTACAAGGGAGTCCTGCCAAACCCCTTTCTCCATGCTCTAGATATTCCTCCAGGTTTTCTGGTGAACTTGACCTCCCACACCAGACTGGTCTATCATATATCTGGGCTTGTTGCATATTTTATTTGACCTCATTCTCTTTCCTGACCCACATTGCCCATCTGCTTATTAATACAGATGTTTTGGTTTCCTGGTCAGAGAACATCTTTTCTGATTATGTGAGAGGTGAATTTTTGATGCGTTCCTTCATTTATTTTAAATAAAGGTCAGCACAAAAATATTTTATAATGTACGTTTTGTTTTGGCTTAAGTCTAGGGAGTTGATCACAAATAAAATGCTGTAATAAAGATCTCGTTCGTTTGTGTTTAAGGTGTGGCGTGAGTTCATGAAAAATAAACATATACAGGTTTTGTAAAAGGAAAAATGGTTTTTATTCCTCAAAATAAACAAAGGCAGTGCCAGCACTGACCCAAACTTTCTGATCTGCACAAATATACAAGAAAATCAAAAACAAACATAAAAACATTTCTTTTGCTCGTTTTACTTTTAGAAAAAAAGTATATTTTAAAATATTTAGGAAATACAAAAATAATGACACATTTAAAAATGTTCATTAAACTTTTGAACTCAGTATTTCAAACAGGCACACAGATCTAGTTACACACAGACGGTTAAACTGTTGTGGTCACACCCTCATCACCTTTTTTTTTTTACAGAAAACTGTCTGCAGTGTAACTCTGCTTTGTTTTTCCTGTTTGGTTTGGTTTTCACTTCCTGATGTAGTTTTTAAATGGAGTTGGGGTTCAAACCAAAACTCTTATAAAAGACGTTTTTACAGTGTAAAATAAAAAAACTAGTTCATTTAACTCGAGAACAAAGGCATACTTAAACACACATACATCAAAATATAAAAAGCACAAATCATAAATTTGACAAATATATCTGCCTGTTGAACAATAAATACAATAAAACAAAATGTTAATGCCTGAAAGGAGCTTATAGTTTCTGCATCTTTTACAGTAAACTTTGTGCCATGACTCTCTAAAGGACAACACAGGTAGCTCAAATATAAATATCCAGTAGTTTCAGAGCAGCAGGAACCTGAATCACAGGACTTCTTTTTGGCCTTCCTTTTTTTTAAAGTTACAACTTAACCAAGCAGAAATCTCAGTCTGAGAACCAGTCCGATAAGCTTGGTGCTCTGCGAGGACTAATCTGCAGGGGCAGAGGTGACAGCAGACAGGACAGGATAACGCAGTGGTTAAACTGCGTTTAGTTCTTAAAGTTTAGAGACTCCAGACAGGACAGCTTCGATGTCCTTCAGTTCCGGACAGTCCAGACTTCAATGTCTTGTACAATGAAGTCTTCATGTGTGGACAGAGGTGCGTTGTGAAAAGTAGGGCAGGAGAAACTTGCTCCATGGTACAAATCAGCATCCAGCCACAGGGCAAAGCCACCTCTGTATAACAAGAATAACAACTTATTACCAAATCTATGAAATAATCATAGATTATGATTATTGTTTTAACAGTAATTGTAAAATATTTTAATTATTCTGTAACAAACTGCTTCTGTTTTTATTCTAACATAACTTGATATAACTCACCCTCCTCCACCAATCTGCAGAGATTCCCAGTTGCCGCTCACAAAGTAGGAGTTCTCACCACTCCAGGTGTATTGCTAMAGAAAGTAGAAAGTATTGTTGGAACTGTATGAATGAATGCTTGAGCTGCTGTAGCCACAATGTGTTTTATTTTTTATTTCAGTCTTACCTGGAAGTCAGGGTTGAAGCTGAACAGAAAGGTCTCTCCGGTGCCGTAGCAATATTTACTGACTCTGAAGGGATCAGAAGAAAAAGCCCCGAACACCTGAACAACAGGCACAGGTAAGTTAGTTAAGGTTTTGATTTGACAAACYTTTTATAGWAATAAAATCTTGSAAACGKAACAATGAAATGCAAACCTTATTGTGCATGTCCTTGATGACCAGCAGCACGGGGCTCTGCAGATCAGCCATATTTCTATAAAGTGTCTTCAGGCTGCTTCCATGGACGGCTGTGCTGTAAACCAGATTCCACTGGTAGCCCTGAGTCCGTGCAGGCATGTGAGCAGCAAGCTGTGGACAAACAAGTTGTTGATGGAACGAGATCTAATAACTCATGTTGTTGGTTGTAATCAGAGGAAACTTGTTGCTGAGTAAAACCTACCTTCTGCAGCTGATAGTCATTGAGCAACTGGCTCTCATCACTCAGGACAGGGAAGTCCTCTTCATCCTCGTACTCATTTTCTTCTGGTTCAGATTCCACTGAGCTGCACCGGCTCAGGCGGCGGTTTGAGTCCTTCACTGTGATTATCTGGATTAGAGCACAAGATGCAACAAACTGATGAGAAAACAAATCAGATTCATTTTTGGAGATTTCTCACACTTTCCCCTCCTTTTTCTACTCTAATAAACTCAGCATTATTACTGTAATCTCACCTCAACATAAGGTTCCTCGCAGTTTTTGGAAAAATAAAACACTTTTATATGTTCCTGTTTGCTCTTCATAGCTCCTGGTTTCTCTGTCAGGTTCAGCACTCTGCTCACCCACATGTCTGCTCTCTAAGAGCGCCATCCTCTACTTATATACTTCTGATTTATTTTCACTTTCATTTGGTGGAAACCTGAGCACATGGCTGCTCAATGGTTCCGGAGCTTTTTTATTTTATTATTTTTTTTTATGAAATGTTGAGCATAGTTACGGGAAGTAGAAGGGGAAAGGAAGTCCATACAAGGAGGCTGGGATTTCCCAGTATTTCAGCTTTAACTGGCAGGCTTTCTTTTGGAGAGAGTGAGGGACCTTCTCTCCAAAAAATGTCTAAAAAGAAAAAGCTTTATAAATAATCCTCCATGTAAAACTTACCTCCCACTTTCGTGAAATCTTGTCGCCGCTGACAGGCTTGCCAAGGCGCTTGCTTCCTGCCATCACATCCTTGTCCGTTACTTGATATCCAGCGGGATCTTTCCTCCTTTTCAGATAACAAGATTTGCAGCGCTTCCTGTTTCCTTTGTTGTAAATATCTGGTGACCATTCCACAAAGAAGGTGTAGAGGTGGTCCACTCTGCAGGCGAACATAGAGCATTTAGTAATCGATAAATTAGCATCACCCTGTAGGGAGGGGGTTCAAACAGGCTTATCACATATTTAATGTACAGGTATGGAAATAAGTAACAACATATAACACAATAAAGTTGCAAAGAACGGATTTTGTTTAAATAAGTAAATAATTTCTGCATTTTGTTTGAAACTTTAAACAACTTGACACCTGAAAGAAAACCTTAGCAACATGTAAAGATGTCTGTGCACGAATATGTGGAAAATCAAATGTGTTACATTTTTTAAACATTAGTCATGCAGGACTGAAGTTATTCAAGGACGTTTAGGAAAATCCAGAGTTTCTTATTGGAGCTAAATCCTTGTAATACTGTTTTAAATAGTTTTCTGTATAAAACAACCAATGTTCTTGTTTTAACATGAGCCAAACTCTCCTTTTAAAAAGGTTTTAGGCAGTGCACTGCTGGAGTTTCAGCAGTGCACTGCCTAAAACTATTTCAGTGAAATAAAAAATAATCTTATTTAATCTTTTGCATGTGTCGTATTGGCAGAATTCAAAATCTAAAGTCTTTGTTGTAACTTTGCAGAGTGTTTACTGTAAGACTGGATCAAAATAAAACTATTCAAATTACTTCCAGTGATTGGAACAGGATATTGCAGCTTCACACTAACATCAAATGTATACATAAAAGTTTTTGTTCCGACTGAGAAAGTTGCCAGTTCAAGACTCTGAATTGCAATATTTACCCCCTTTCTTAAAGATTTGTTTTACTTACTCTCCAACGCTGTAGGCAACTCCCATGTCTGACTGAATACGAAGGCTTTAAGTGAATTGAGAAAAATAAAATTGCTGGTTTTAAAGCTCAGAGCTGAAGGAACAATGGCACTCTGAGTCCTTCCTCTCTGCCTTTTATAAGAACAGGTCAGTTGCTGAGATAAGCTCCTTTGACCATTATCCCTCCCCCTTTACAGCTGACCGCTCACCACAGTCTGCACGATTCTGGAGCTGCGAAATGAGGTTTGAAAGCTAAAATTGGTTAAATATTAACTTGACGTGCTCTGGGTCCGTGTCCTCCAGTGTGGCTGCAGTTCATGCAGTTATTGTGTCAAATTAAGGCCAATGACAAAAAAGGTTGAGTTGGCAGAAAGATGGACGTTGGAAGTATGTCAGTCTGCTTGATTATCTTTTTAACGGGCCATTCAGCTTCAGCAGATACAGCGGGTAAAATAAGTATTGAACACGTCACCATTTTTCTCAGTAAATACATTACTAGAGGTGCTAATGACATGAAATTTTCACCGGATGTCGGTAACAACCCAAGTGATCCATACATACAAAGAAATCAAACCATAAATGTCCAGAAATGACGTTATTTGTAGTAATGTGGAGTGGCCCAGGGAAAAAG